AGCATGATCCCTTCCAGCGCCATCCATGTTGCTGCAAATTGCATGTGTTTATCTTTTTTTTTTTTTTTGAATGCTGAGTAATATTCCATGGTATATATGTACCACATCTTCTTGATCCAGTCATCTATTTTTTGGGCATTTGGGCTGTTTCCAAAACTTAGCTATTGTAAATAGTGCTGCTATAAACATAGGGGTGCAGGTGTTCTTTGGAATGGATGTTTCTGTGTCCTTTGGGTAAAGACCTAGGAGTGGAATTGCTGGATCATATGGAAGCTCTATGTTTAGTAGGTCCAGAAATCTCCACAAAGCTCTCCATAGTGGTTGGACCAGTTTGCACTCCCACCAGCAGTGCAGGAGAGTTCCTTTTTCTCCACACCCTCGCCAACATTTGTTGTTGCTAGTTTTTTTAATATGTGCCATTCTCACTGGTGTAAGATGGTATCTCATGGTAGTTTTGATTTGCATTTCCCTGATTGCAAGTGATGTTGAACATTTTTTCTTTTTTTTTTTTTTTTTTTTTCTATTTGAATTTATACTTCCAGCCCATTTACTCTCCTTAACGACTGAATTTTATAATATATTTTTGTGCTCACAAGTTGTTTTTTTTTTTTTAAATAATAAATTTTATTTTTATATTCCCCATACAATTGCAGCCCCCCCATTCTGACCCCAATCCCTCCCCTCCCACCCCCGCCCCCCAAAGTGTCTCTGGTTCATAGTTTTTTGTTGATTTTCATTTTCACTTTCTTATAGTTATTCATTTTCCTGGTCCCTTATTTAAGTTTTCTAGACTCCTGCTATGAGTGAGACCATCCAGTATTTTTCTTTTTCTTTTTGGCTTATTTCGCTGAGCATGATCCCTTCCAGCGCCATCCATGTTACTGCAAATTGCATGTGTTTATCTTTTTTGAATGCTGAGTAATATTCCATGGTATATATGTACCACATCTTCTTGATCCAGTCATCTATTTTTGGGCATTTGGGCTGTTTCCAAAGCTTAGCTATTATAAACAGTGCTGCAATAAACATAGGGGTGCAGGTGTTCTTTGGAATTGATGTTTCTGTGTCCTTTGGGTAAATACCTAGGAGTGGAATTGCTGGATCATATGGAAGCTCTATGTTTAGTAGGCCCAGAAATCTCCACACAGCTCTCCATAGTGGTTGGACCAGTTTGCACTCCCACCAACAGTGCAGGAGAGTTCCTTTTTCTCCACACCCTCGCCAACATTTGTTGTTGCTAGTTTTTTTAATATGTGCCATTCTCACTGGTGTAAGATGGTATCTCATGGTAGTTTTGATTTGCATTTCCCTGATGACAAGTGATGTTGAACATTTTTTCATATGCCTGTTGGCCATTCGCTTTTCCTCTTCAGAGAAGTTTCTTTTTAGCTCTTCTGCCCATTTTTTGACTGGATTATTTTCTTTGTTGTTGTTAAGTCTCATCAGCTCTTTGCAGATTTTTGTGATCAGTCCTTTATCATTAGTGTTGGGTGCAAAAATGTTCTCCCAGTTGGTGGGGTTTCTCTTTGTTTTGGTTATTGTCTCTTTTGCTGTGCAGAAGCTCTTTAATTTGATGTAGTCCCAGCTGTTTATCTTTGCCTTCACTATCACTGCTTTGGGTGATGTGTCTGTAAAGATGTCTTTGATGTGCAAATCCCGTAGTGTTTCGCCTATATTTCCTTTTATATATTTTATGGTTTCAGGTCTTATGTCTAGTTCTTTAATCCATTTTGAGTTGATTTTTGTGTATGGTGTGAGGTAGTGGTCAAGCTTCATTCTTTTGCATGTAGCAACCCAGTTTTCCCAGCACCATTTATTGAACAAACTTTCTTTGCTCCAATGCATAGTCTTTTCTCCTTTGTCAAAGATTAGTTGACCATAAATCTGTGGGTTTATTTCTGGATTTTCTATTCGATTCCATTGGTCTGTATGTCTGTTCTTGTTCCAATACCATGCAGTTTTGATGATTATGGCTTTGTAGTATAGTTTGAAGTCTGGGCGTGTGATGCCTCCATTCCCTTCTTAAAGATTTATTTTTATACAAGAACCGGGGTACAGGCCAGATGTGCGGGAGGGTGAGAGGATTCACCAGAGACAGAGCAGGGAACAGAACAGGCAGACTGACAAAATACACTGCTGAGGGGAGCAGCAGGCGAGATAGGAGAGGTCTGCCTCGCCATGCGGGATTCTTCCCAGCTGGCATGGATCGAACCAGTGCTGCAGAGGCTGCGGACTGCCTCACAGTGCGGCGCTCAAAGGCCTGCGCCACCAGGGAGGCCCTAGGTTGTTTTACTTTTGAGGTTGAGTGTCTTCTGAAATTGGGGGTAGGGGAATGGAGGGAGACCAGTCAAATCATATGAATAAAATCACAAATTTTAATATGAAGATCAATGATAGGGGATGGATACATGAGGAGAAATGTTTTGTAAAAATTATTTGATAGGGCCTCCCCTGGTGGCGCAGCGGTTGAGCGCTGCCAGCAGCCTCTGCAGCGCTGGTTCAATACCCAGCCACGAGGGTCCCACATGGTGCGACAGACCTCTCCTGCCGCTCCTGCTGCTCCCCTCAGCAGTGTATTTCAGTCTACCTGTTCTGTTCCCCACTCTGGTTCTGGTGAATTCTCTCACCCTCCTGCGCTTCTGACTGTACCCAGTGCTTGTATAGATAAATAAATAAATCTTTAAAAAAATTATTTGATACATGAATTTATCAAAGTCTTCAAACCCACACAGCCATTACCTGACAACCAGGCCCAGTTGTCTGATTGGCTGAAGATTTGCAGATGCAAATCGTACTCTTAGGCCAGATGTGTAATTGGACAACCACTGCCAATTAAAAGTGGTAGCAAATTACAGGGGTTCAGGAGATAATTGATTCTCCAAATTAGTAACTCAATTGATCAAAATTATAATACCTGTTGAAGTTACTTTAAATTATGCTCTAATAGTAATTAGAGGCTTTGCTTCATGTTCTATGAAATATTTCCCTTTGCCGATGAAGTACTAAGGGACTGGTAATTTAGGCAAATAAATCATGATTGCCTGATCAAAGTCATTAAATTAATATAAAATGTAATGGTAGTAAATTCTCTGATAAAAGAAAGTGGTTTAATACTTCGATAGGGAGGTAGCCAAAATTATATTCTGCAAATATTTGGATACGTTTTTCATAAGGTCCAGCATTCCATTTTGCAGCTTTGTTTGATAGGTTCATAGACCCATCTTTTTTCTTTTACTATGGCAATAAGTAATTGTGTCTATTCCGAGCCTTTGTCATACCTAATTGCCACTTTATTGTTCCCAGAGGGCAATTGGACTAAGACTTTTAAAACGCTGAATTTAAAATGACTAATAAGGATTAAAAGAAGGAACCCAGAGATTGCAGAGCCATCGCTGCTTGATGTTATTTCCTACAATTATATTTTAAGGTAATTAGCAATAGTCATACTTTGTTGAGAGAGCAACTGTGCTTTCACACATTGACACTCATTTGGGACACAGCACATTCTATTCTCTCAGATACCGTAGTCGAACCTTCCATATCCAGCACTGTCACTCATTTGAAAAACTAAAAAATAACTTAAAATTATTCCAGTGTTGAACAGGATCCACAAAGGAAGATAAGTCTGGAATAGAAATGATAGCTTTCCACATACTGGGAATTCCATTTAATATATAGCACTTAATGTGTGAGAAGATTTCTGGCATCTTCCTATTGTGGCTTTATAGGAAAGATCATGGCCCAGCCCGCACACCCTAGAACACAAGAGCCTGGAGAGCAGTTACTTTTTCACAAAAAAAGAAAGTTTTAAGTACCTGCTAATGGCAAGACCAAGCTCTGCAGCAATGATGCATTTGCATAGATGAATCATTTGGCTGCCTTGAATAAGTTGTAGTAGAAGCTGTTCCAGAACTCTTGACTAATATAACCTAAAACCTAAACATCGACTGCTGCAAAAGCAGTGTAAAAATTGACATGATTTCTTGGATAATTTTTGACAAAGCAGGTTTTTCCTGGATTCTGATCAGTAAACATGGGAAGGCGGCTATAGAATCACTAACTTACTAAGAGTTGGTGAATCTGACTGAGCCTTAATCATTACAATTCTAGTTGGTCTGCCCCAAGTAAAACACAAAATCGTATTTTAAAGGAGTGAGTAGATGCTTTAAAAATGTTTTCAAAATAAATGTTCTGAATGTCAGTTTGGTTTCTGGACTAAATTGCCTCTAAATTACCCAGTTCTAAAATCACATTTCAAAGCTTTGGGAAACCCTGTCTGGGGCCTGTCTAGACCTCAGAATTGGCCTGGTTTGTTTTAAGGTTTCAACAAGGCCCCAGCCTGCTGGGTTTGCCTAATACCAAGGGAGAGACATGTGAGACGTGATGTAGATTCTACAATACTGTTGTATGTGTTTTTTTTTCATTATACCCTGTTTGGAAAAGTAATTTAAAAAATGATATCATGGTATATTTCTAGAATTGCATCATCTCTTGACCTTAAGACTTCCTAAACAAAGAGGGGTGAAGTGGAGGATCACAGCCAATGACGTAGCATCAGAGACTTGGCCTCTCGTTGTACACTGTGGCTGACCCACTGTGGGACTTTGGGAAAGTCACTTAGCCTTTCTGGGCTTCATTTCTCAAATGAGGACATTTAGAATAGAAATCGTCTACAGTCTCTTTGGTTTGTGTTTCTATGATGTCACAAAACATGTGGGCAGATTTTCTAAATGTTACTGTATGCTATATTTTTACTGGAAAACAAACCAATGATTCAGCACTAGTCATGTGCCAGGCAAATCTAAAACTGAGAAGAGACTTAGCAGGTAGGCAGTCATGAGTTCATTAGGGAGACCCAGAGACTCATGCAATTACGGCACCAAGTCCAACAGGGTTTCGCATCTGTCACCATGGGTATAACAAAGATTCAAACTGAACCTGTACTTTAAAAATGCATTGCTTTTTTTTTTTTTTAATAAAGTTTTAGAAAGTCAGTTAACTCAGTTGCATTCTCTGCTTTGCACGCAATAACAGGGTGGACTATTCATAAATAGGTGTCTGTAAGCCCCCATTAGGGCTGGACTGCAGAATAATCTGGCATGTGTGACATCTACATTTAATTATTGCTTCATCCAGCACCTGTGTTACACAGTGACTCAGGTCTGCAGCCTCATCCTTTCATGTTGGACAAAGCAACTAGGTCAGTCATTGGAGCTGGAGCCTTGAGAAAGGGTGCTCATGGCCACCCCAGAGCTGCTACTTCTGGCATCTCGTCCTAATTTATGTGGTTCTCACTGCTTGGGTAAACAATCTCTGTTCGAGGGAAATACTTCAGTTTTTACTTAGCGAGGATGAGATGAAATTTTTCAGGTAACTGAGAGAAGCCACTCTTTTGCCTCCAATAGCTCGATGGAACAGACTCAGAGGCTCATTGTTAAACTTTCTTCTTAAATACCAATTTGGTGATGTGAATTTTCTCTTAAACTGTGTTCCTGAAATAGTGTTTCATAAAACAGTCGACTCTAGAATGAAAATTGAATGAAATCTGTTAAAAAAAAGTGTTTTACTTTTTAAAGAAATTGAACAACTTACCATTTTAAGTGTACAAAATTCAGTGCCATTTAATGCATTCTCAATGTTGCACAATCATCACACATCTAGTTTCGAATTTTTTCATCACTCCAAAGAACACCCCATACTCTGCATTCTCCCCTCCCCCCATCTCCTGGCAATCCCTAACCTAATTTTTTTTTTTTAATTAATTTATTTATACAAGCACCGGGTACAGTCAGAAGCGCGGGAGGGTGAGAGAATTCACCAGAGCGGGGAACAGAACAGGTAGACCGACGAAATACACTGCTGAGGGGAGCAGCGGGCAGCAGGAGAGGTCTGCGCACCATGTGGGACCCTCACCAGGGATCGAACCGGCGCTGCAGAGGCTGTGGGCAGCTTCACAGCCCAGCGCTCAACTGCTGCACCACCATGGGAAGCCCCCCTAACCTAACTTCTGTCCCTGTGGATTGGCCTACTCCAAAAGTGTTTTAAGTTTTGAGGATCTGCTTTTATTCCAAAGTACTCAGTTCTTAATGGACATGAAGGAAAAGAACATGGATCCAAAGAGAGGGAGAGTTCCTGTGAGGATTAAATATTTACCTGTCATGGCCTCCAACTTCCTTCCCCTTGAATCACAAACGCCTGTGGAGCACAACAGGTTGCCAGCCAGCCGGTAAGGGGGCGAAGAATGATATCCATTTAGAGTTCCAGGAAAAGCTGAAGTAGGACGGAATAAAATGATTTTAGTTGGAATTTGGCCACATTTGAAGGCTAATTAATGAGGATTATGAACAAAATGAGGAATGTGCTCCTGGCTGTGGCCAAGTTATCAATGTAGTAAAGTATGGCCTGCGAGTTTCCTAACCTCTGCAGAAGGACGCCCTTATGCTCCGTTCAACATATTGAATGTGTTAAGTGCTGAAGAAAACTGGACTCATGGAAAAGGATGTGTAGTCTTTTATACACTTGCAGAGAGGTTGTTGGTGCTTAAATCTGCAGGAACCTGGACACATGACTCTTTTGATCTTAAATCTTGGAGGGAAGTCGTTTGCTTAGCAGGCTCTGTTAGGATCCCTTTGTGAAGCTTCAAAAAGCAAAAGAAATCATCTACCTTTCCCCCCTCCTGACACCAGTTCCTACAGTTGAGTTGAAAGTATTTCTGTGCAGGTGCACAGTGCGGGAGAACAGGCTCAGCAGAACAGCTCTGTGTCTTGTTTTCATTAAGTATTTTACAAACCCGGGAACTCCAGTATGCTAGGCTGGGAAGAGAAAGGGAAAATAATAAAAGACGGAGGAAGTTCTTCCCTCCCGCAGGCAGCATTCTTCAGCCACTTGAAGAAAAAATTTCCAAATACCTGCCCATGTCCCAGGGTCATTTAAGGATAGATTGTGATTGGTAGTGAAGAGGATGAGAAACTGAAGAGGAAGACAGAGAAAAGAGAATGGGAGAGAGAAACAGGGAGGGAGAAGGAGAAAACTATCTATAGGGTCTTCCCTGGGCCCTGCAGGGCAGGTGATAAGCATCTGAATAAAGAAGAGCTGGTTAGTTTGTGACCATCTCCGACACTGACACTGGAAATGCAGAAATCCCTAGGAAGGATTTGGTGGAAGACAGTTGTGCATGTGACTTGTGCAGTCACACAAGGTCAGGTGCTGAGAAACCCCACCCTTGGTTTAAGGCTCCTCTGACATCATCCTGAAATTCTTAAAAATTTTGTTTGAAAAATAAACAGCCATCTGTAAATCAGAAACATTCTGCAGGGGAGGGGGAGGAAGAGGGATCAAAACAAAGGTGGGAAGAGCACAAGGGACTATGGTGATGGAGGACAGGTGAACTGGTGGTGGGACTACACCTGAGAAAAGAAAGCAAATGTTGTACAAAAACGAACAATGTAAAATATAATTAATTAAAAAAAATTATGTTTGAACTTGTGTTTCACATAGAAAGTCTGGTGGGACGTAGAGCTCAGCATGAACAGAGGAGACAAGCACAGTGTATGTATTCTCTATTCCTTGTCACCCACTTGCCTAGAGCATTTGTGATTCCTCATGGGTATGGTGGAGCCACCATGAGTGGGAGTTCGAGAGAACTCAGAGTACAGAAGTAACCATGTTACTCCTTCAAAGAAGCGATGCCTTCCAGTAGAAAACTTGCTGTCCAGAACATGCTTGGATTGTGGAAAGGAGGTGGGAGAGTCCTAAGAAACACAAATGACAAGGAACACCATTGTATTCCTTTCTTTCATGGTTAAGTCCCTGTAGTAGTTACCACTTAAGCTAAAAATGACGATGGAAAAGAAAAGAGAAAGGTTGGGCAAACCATAGTCGCCTTTCCTTTCAGTTCCTCCCTCCTCATCAGAAAGACTAAGTCAAAGCCAAATGTAGAGTGTTGGTGGAATATGCACTTGTCAAAGAAAGTGAAAGAAAACCAGTTGAATTCACTTTGTGCAGACTTTCCCCATATGCCTACCAAAATGCATATGCAAGTATGAAGTACAAAATATGGACTGCAATTTGTTTGATTCCACATCTAAGTTAAATGCTCTTCTAGTTTTATTTAAAACTGGTATTGCACAATATAAAGGTTAATGGTAGAATTCACGCTGTTAGTTTAAGTTTTTTTATTTTTCCTTACTTAGTATGGCATAAGGCAAATAACACACCAAAAGATGGCAAGTAACTGAGAAAGAAGGAAGCCTTCTCTAATTCAGGGCCTAGTGTTTCCCTGGTTCTTGAACAAGGGACTCCCCATTTTCGTTTGTCAGTGGGAACAAATGATGTAACTAGCAAATGATGTAACCTAGCAGGTGTGGTGCTAGGGCCCAGGGTGTGGCTGGAACTATAAAACTGTTGAATTATATTTTAAAAGATGATTCTGAGTTCCTTGTTAAGACAATTTCTTCTTTTTTTCCTTCATAATTTTAATACCACATACTGTGTTTCTTATCCAAACCACTTTGTCCCTGCTGTGTTTCCATAAGATGGACCCATTTTTCAAACGAGAGCAGTAAACTCCAAGGATGGGCTGGTCCTTGGTGTCTTATCTCAGGGATGGTGCAAAGGCTGAAAATTCATGTCCCCCCCAACCATGAGTGTGGCTGCTTTTTATGAACCCGACAATGAAGTTTGTCAATTTACAATTTTTTTATCAAAATCTTTAAAAGAGCAAAAACAATGTAATTTTTTTGAAGAAGCTAATCTGTAAAGGTAAAAATCATTTGGTGACTTTTTTTTCCAAAGTCCACTATCAGATAGTACAATGAATTTGGACATCATTAATCATATCTTCCCTTTGTTTTTGTATTTGTAACTTCGTGGGATTTACTAATCTCAGCACTATCATATCTTTTATAACTGTAAGTGGAAGCTGTTCCCTCGATTTGATTTGTTAGTCTTCTCTGCCGTTAATTTATTGGTTTGTTCTACATATTTTACAAAATCCAACCCTTGAAAAACAAGCCTTGACAATTTAGCTCCATCTATACTTTAAAATTAAGAAATGGTTAGAAGTGTTTCATTTATATTCTTTATTATTCATTTGACTTACAAAGTATATAGGCCTGGAAATTGCCTGTCAGTTTTACTACTGAAAGCTCCAGTTACTCTTACTTAAGATTAAAGTCATTCTTTTTATAATCACTCACTTTCCTCCAAGAAAATTCTCTGTGTGGGGGGAAATCTTCAGTGGAGAAGGATTCGATATGGACTTCCAACCCTTTAACCTAGATTATAGTAGGATGTTAAGCAAGGAAATGACATATCGGGGCAGGAATCAGTTGTGCTCCATCCCAAGTCTATTTTAAGGCACTTTCCATTTTAAATATAGCAATAAAATATCAACCTCGAAATGTCTGATAAGGATAAAAGCAATAGATCCAAATCCAATCTAAATCTGACACTGCCAGGAACAAGAATTCACATTGGTAAGTCAGGACTCATTTATGGGGCCATAAATGGGTGGGCTAGCTATAATTTGGGTATTAAACTTGTAAAATATATTGATGGTATGTAAGAGCTAAATAAATAATTTACTACAAGAAAATTGGAAATCTTTACATGGTACTTAATTGACCACTTGGTCTCCCAGATTCTCGATGGCTCCTTGCTTTGCATTTGTGTGTTCTTCACAGGCTAAATTTTTCTTTTCCTCTCTTCAGTTTAATTTCCCTCTGTAGTGAATGATCACAAGTTGGTGCATTTCTGAAAACACATACAGTTTCCATTTAAAATTCTACCAATCCATTACACGCCTTTGACAATTTCATTTACCTTTTAGGAAGATAAATGTGCCACACACTCTCTGTTCTGGAATTAGACGAATTTCTTTCTGATCCCAAAAAAGTCTCTGCAGTCCCACATCTTGGATTCCTGTTTTGTGCACAGATCAGGAGGAGTTTCAGTGAGATGCTTGAAGAATCCTTTTGTTTTATACTTTTGGAAATCTGCTGAATAGGGAGAAAAATGATTTTGGAAAGCTCTGTCACTGCCTCCTACACATCTACAGATGTTAAGTGCAGTTGGGGGAGGGAAAAGAGAAAGAAAACAGGGAAAATCAAACTAAGGCATTGTTATTTATGTACATGCATCCAGAAAACAAACAGATTTCATAGACACATTATAAACTTACTTACCCTAAGAGTGACTGCTTTCACATGTGTATATAACAGGCACATGTTTCAAAGGACACTTGTATCTCTTATCTCTTCAACCCTACTGATTCTCTCAAAGTAAATGGAACAGGCATTGTGATATCCGGTTTTACCAGATGAGAAAACTGAGGTTTTGGGAAGTAGGGATTTGCCAAGTAATTTGTACAGGAAATAATTAGGCTGGAGTCTGGACCCCAATTCTTCAAATCCCCGGATTGGCTCCACTATGAAGGGTCAGTCTGTGCTTTCAGCTACAAGCAGTAGAAAGGCCCATCTAACAAGCTTAAACAATAAAGAGTCATATTGGTTTATATAATGTGTAGACCATAGGGGGTGGGCTTTAGGTTTGGTTTCAGTCAAGTTTTGATTCTATTTCTCTGTAGTTCTTTCTCCTCTGTGCTTTTCTAGGTGTTGACTGGCATCTAGCTGGCTTTCCTCTTTTTTTTCATTTTTAAAAAAGATTTATTTATTTATGCATACAAGAGCTGGGGTGCAGGCCAGAGGTGCAAGGGGTGATAGGATTCACCAGAGACAGAGTGGGGAGCAGAACAGGTGGACTGACTGAAATATACTCTGAAGGGAGCAGTGGATGAGACAGGAGAGGTCTGCTTCTCCATGTGGGGTCATCTCCTTGACCATGGATCGAACTTGTGCTGCAGTGGCTGCTGCAGAGGATAGCTTCATAGTGCTGACACTTAACCCCTTTCGCCACCAGGGAGGCCCCTGGCTTTCCTCTTGATTATAAAATGGTAGTCAGTGGCAATTGGGACACTGTGCTTGTAGTTCACCTTAGCAGATAAGAGAGTATGATTTTCCCATTATTATTTCTTAAAAGCAGGGTAGGACTGTCCTAGAAAGTCATAGGAAATTTTTTTCATTATCTAGAATTGGAGCGCATGACATCTTCCATTAGTGATAGAGCAATGACCATGGAATGACTATAATTGTCTTAGTCTAATCAAAGCCAATCTTGAGTCACATGGGGAATTCAGGTGAAGGGGCAAATATGCTGAGTAGACAATCAACAGAGTCCTCTATCATTACTTTTGTGATTTTAGTAGTCAGTGGATTTGTGAAAATTATGTGTTTGTCATGGAACAATGAATGGGGTTAATACCCAATGTGCCTAAAGACCAATACCATCACACCAGGTTTGAGGAGAAAAAGAAGCTTTACTGCAAATCAGTTGGCAAGGAGGCAGGAGTTAAATTCAAATCTGCCTCCCCTCTTAGGAAAGGGAATCAGGTTATATAGGTTTAGGAAGCCAAAGCTGAGAACAAAGGAATTTAATTTTATTGGCTGGGGCGTGGGTTAAAGGCAAAACAACTTGGCTGAAGTTCATTGGCTAGTTAAAGGGCAGTTCATAATTGAGGAAGTATGGAGGCTTTTCTTCAGAGAATGGGGTTTTCAATTTCTGTTGGGGAGCCTGGCGCCTCCGGGTAGCCCCTCTCCTTGGTGTTTGCAGTATCCTGGAACTGTTTGCCTTCATGCAGGCCTGGGGTTCAGCTCAAAGTCAGTTGCTTCTGTTTGCAAAAACTGTGTAGATAAACTGCAACTGAAGACTACAAGCCTCAAAGAAAAAGTTGCGTATTTTTTTGTCTTTTGTGCTCTAGGTCTGAGAGCAATTTAACTCTTTAGCCTTGGTTTCAAAGGCGGCAAAAAGAAACTATTGTTTGGCCAAGGAGACTGGTCAAACAACTGAATTCTGTTGTTTCATGGTCTCTCATGTATTTCCATATTTATTTCCCCAGTAACATCCCTGTTATCCCACTGGGCTTCTCTTACGCATGTCAAACCTCAGACTTCTCATGGGCTCAATCATTGTTTCACTCTTCAGATCCAATGACTTGGCAGACGTAGCCACTCCTCCCAGAAACTCTAACTTAATTCTGTGTTAGCCCCCATTTTAAAGGGAAAAACACACAGGGAATTTAGTATTTTAGAATCCTTTGCAGTTCTAAGGAGGAAGGCAAATGAAAGTTCATCATTTTGCCAGAATCAAGGCCTTGCTTTCAAAATATTCACTAATGTGCTGAATGTCACTTTATCAGCCATATGTTTTTCTTATCCTGAATTACCACCCCATTCAAAAAAGCACAGCCAGATATCGAACATAGCCCTATCTACCCTCCCTGGCAATGACGTTATTGAGCACTCTATATTTTGTCACTTTTATTTATTTTTTTGTCTGGAGAATCCCTCATGTTCAAAATAGCAAAGTCTTAATTGCAACACACACTTGCCTCTCACCCTGAAAGTTAATACTGATTAACTGTAAAGCCACCATACCAGCCCAGTGAACCAGGCCCCAAAGTACAGAGGATAGACACTCAGAGAGCATTGTTTAAAATAGCACTCATCAGAGATGATGAGGATGAGAAAGCCACTTAGGTTTTGATAGTGGAGGATTCATGAAGCAAGGAAAAATACTTTCTCTATAGGCATTAAGCCCAAGTAGGTAATAAAAAGCAAGAAACAGAACTCCAAATGCCAGACACTATGTCTTTTAAATGAGGAGTGAGGCTTAGTCACTCACGTATGACTAGAGGACTGGTGACATAATTTGCAGGGTCCTGTGCAAAACAAAAATGTGGGACCCTTGTTGAAAAATTAAAAGAATTATAAGACAGTGACAGCGGAACATTAAGAGAAGCATGGAGCCCTTTTGAGCATGGAGCTCTGTCTCAAGGCCATGAAGCCAGTCCTGGTGACCATACACTTGAATGTAAAAGAGCAAATTTTCTTTCTATTCGCTAGCACCTTGTATATATTTTTTAGCTCTACAGAGCGATTTTCCTGCCAAATAGCTCAGAACATGGAAAACTAATTGGCTAGGAATTGTTTCAGACAGTGGAGTGGAGCTTAGACAGAGATTTAGGAGAAGCAAAGATGCAGACTTGAAGTCAGACCTGGTTTACTAGAGCCAAACCTTTTTTTTTTTTTTTTTTTTTTAGATTTATTTATTTATTTATACAAGCACTGGGTACAGTCAGAAGCACGGGAGGGTGAGAGAATTCACCAGAGCCAGAGAGGGGAACAGAACAGGCAGAGTGATGAAATACTCTGCTGAGGGGAGCAGCGGGCACAGCAGGAGAGGTCTGTTGTGCCATGTGGCTAATAATAAAAAGATTGTTTTCTCTTTGATGCAGATATATCCCTTTTAAGTATACCTTAAATTAGAAATTCAGCATTTCTTGGAAAGACATCCCCTGCTCATGGATTGGAAGAATAAACATTATTAAAATGGCCATCCTACCAAAAGCAATATACAGATTCAATGCTATTCCAATCAAAATTTCAATGTCATTCTTCAAAGAAATAGAACAATTATTGATGAAATTCATAATGGAATCACAAAAAACCCCGAATAGCCAAAGCTCTCCTGAAAAAAAAAGAAGGGAATGGAGGCATCACACTCCCAGACTTCAAACTATACTACAAAGCCATAATCATCAAAACTGCATGGTATTGGAACAAGAACAGACATACAGACCAATGGAATCAAATAGAAAATCCAGAAATAAATCCACAGATTTATGGTCAACTAATCTTTGACAAAGGAGCAAAGACTATGCATTGGAGCAAAGAAAGTTTGTTCAATAAATGGTGCTGGGAAAACTGGGTTGCTACATGCAAAAGAATGAAGCTTGACCACTACCTCACACCATACACAAAAATCAACTCAAAATGGATTAAAGAACTAGACATAAGACCTGAAACTATAAAATACATAGAAGGAAATAAAGGCGAAACACTACGTGATATTCACATCAAAGACATCTTTACAGACACATCACCCAAAGCAGTGATAGTGAAGGCAAAGATAAATAGCTGGGACTACATCAAATTAAAGAGCTTCTGCACAGCAAAAGAGACAATAACAAAAACAAAGAGAAACCCCACCAACTGGGAGAACATTTTTGCACCCAACACTAATGATAAAGGACTGATCACAAAAATCTGCAAAGAGCTGATGAGACTCAACAACAACAAAGAAAATAATCCAGTCAAAAAATGGGCAGAAGAGCTAAAAAGAAACTTCTCTGAAGAGGAAATGCAAATGGCCAACAGGCATATGAAAAAATGTTCAACATCACTTGCAATCAGGGAAATGCAAATCAAAACTACCATGAGATACCATCTTACACCAGTGAGAATGGCACATATTAAAAAAAACTAGCAACAACAAATGTTGGCGAGGGTGTGGAGAAAAAGGAACTCATCTGCACTGTTGGTGGGAGTGCAAACTGGTCCAACCACTATGGAGAGCTTTGTGGAGATTTCTGGACCTACTAAACATAGAGCTCCCATATGATCCAGCAATTCCACTCCTAGGTATTCACCCAAAGGACACAGAAACATCAATTCCAAAGAGCACCTGCACCCCTATGTTTATAGCAGCACTATTTACAATAGCTAAGCTTTGGAAACAACCCAAATGCCCAAAAATAGATGACTGGGTCAAGAAGATGTGGTACATATACACCATGGAATATTACTCAGCATTCAAAAAAGATAAACATGTGCAATTTGCAGCAACATGGATGGCGCTGGAAGGGATCATGCTCAGCGAAATAAGCCAGAAAGAAAAAGAAAAATACCGGATGGTCTCACTCATAGCAGGAATCTAGAAAACTTAAATAAGGGACCAGGAAAATGAATAACTATAAGAAAGTGAAAATCAAAATCAACAAAAAACTATGAACCAGAGACACTCTATGGTGGGTAGGGGGCGGGAGGGGAGAGATTGGGGTCAAAATAAGGGTGTTGCAATTGTATGGAGAATATAA